GTATCCCTTAGTTCGATAGTCAGATGTGTTTCGTACATGAGTGTAGCAGGAGTTTCTGCTCGTCAGTTTTATTATTTTTTTGATTTAACTCCATGTTTTCCCACACATCAGTAAGAAAATGACATGCAGGTAAAGTTATAGTGTAACTTTGTCAAAAAGCAAACTAGAATGTCGTTAAACTAGGGTTTAAAAGACTCATATTAATGAAAAGGGAATCAAGGCTATGCATTGAATGGTGTCAAAATCACAAATGTAAACACTTTAATATTGGCTGCATTGCGAATGTAGTCATATAATTTCTTTGTGCTTTGGCATTAGAGGAGTGGGGGCAGTAGCTGTCCAGGTTAATTAGGTTGCAAATGAGGGTTAGACATAAAGAAATGAGATTTCTGTAAATGTTATTGAAGCCGCCTGCAGTAGCTCCGATATATGACGTTTCCTAATAAAATCGGCACTGTTTTGCCGAATCCCCTAATAACGCTGTCGACTAGAACAACATTGCAGTGTCAAGCAATTGTCGCGGTTTCTCAGCGGCTTTTTCTGGCTTACACCTGCAAACCACCATCACATTTATTCTGTCAGGGAGGGGTGGATTGATTCCTCATTGGAGAAGGTAATTTTACAGGACTGCTCTGGCCATAGGATTCCTTGTTTTGTCAAAGGCATGTAAATTAGACAAGATACAGCTTGATGTGTTGTCTTATGTAACAGATTGCCAAGGAGGTGTATTAACCATCTCTTTCCAGAACAGAAATAGTAGATATTGGGTAATATTTTATAATATGTCAAGATGATAGATGATAACAATTTTGGTATCATTGGATTCTCTCACCATCTTCCCTCGATAGCAGGGGAGGGCATGAAAGGTACCAGAGAAATATAAGTAATATACACAGAATCAGTCACTTTATTGTTTAGTGCAACCCCCCCCCCCAGCTTGCCCAGGAAAACAAAGAATCCTCCGCGACAGGAGAGAGCGTCAGACAGACTTGGCAACACTGGTCCCACATAGCATGAGTACATGGAGGATTCTCTCTGGTAGAGATTACAGACATCGACGCACAAAGATAGAGAGATATGGACACTGCCATCTTATAGAGTGGGATAGAACATAGTTTAAGCTGCAGCGGCCATATAGTTGCCGCTAAATTATGAAAATATAATGCGTGCTTGCCTTTCAAATTCTGTCCATCAGCTTGTTTATCTTGCAAAGAAAAACACAACACTGACCCATGATTGCATTATTGCGTTGTCAAACTAGTCCGTTTATTACTACACGCTTGTCAAAATGATATTTGGCTAATTATCTGTGTCTGCTGTTACACATTTATGCCTTTAAAGTCTTTTATTGATGTTATGATACTTCATTTTCATATTTTAATATTTATCTATACCCTCTGTAGAATCGTACGCAACGAGTGTTTCACATTTTCTTGGTCCTGCTGCCAGATCACACACCATGGCGCGCTCATTTCAAAGTGAAACGCTGTCTTTTATAAGGAAAATTATATATTTAAATGTTAGTGTTTGTCCATTTGTGAGCTTTATTTCTTTAGGAGAGTGAGATTGACCATAACTTGTTGGCTATATGCAACATATTTATATAGTAAGAGTTATAGAAATGGATCCATTTCTACACAATGATTTTCCTTCTTGGAGGCACGGATCCGGTTCCTAACCTAACCTAATCTTATCTTATCTTATCTTATCTTATCTTATCTTATCTTATCTTATCTTATCTTATCTTATCTTATCTTATCTTATCTTATCTTATCTTATCTTATCTTATCTTATCTGACCTGACCTGACCTGACCTGACCTGACCTGACCTGACCTGAACCTTAACCTTAACCTTACCTTACCTTACCTTACCTTACCTTACCTTACCTATCTAACCTAACAGCAGTACTCTGCTGCATTTGACAACCTTGATTTCAATTTGAGAAAGTGTTCCGGGTGTCTGTCTCTGCAAAAAGATTTTTTATAGATAAGAGAAATGGATCCGTTTCTACTTGAGGATTAATGGGCTGTGGCACAATTTTTTTTCCGTTTCTATAACCATTTCATCAAAGATAATTTTTACCAATTATATCTAATGCTTAATTTTTTAGAAATGCAAAGAAAGACCTGATAACAATTCATCAGCTGAAATACTTTCTCAAGCAATTGATTTGATTGTAATTTTTCACAGTACCTTTGCATAACGGATCATGATGATTTTTGGTAACGATGGATTCCTCTTACCCTCTATAAAAATATATATGGAGGAATTAATGCAGTGTGGAGGGACCTGGTTATTCTTTTCAGTTTCAACACACTATGCTAGGGTAAATTCTTGTTGAGTACAAAAAGTTTGTTATTGGTACAAGAAATAATCTGCAGACATAAACAGCTATGCTGCGAATAAAGGAAAAAGATCATGGTTTTTGCAGCCAAACTCCATGCAGCGCTCCAGAGTTTCAGCTTTATCTTGCTGTGCATACCAAGGTGAAGACAATATTTGTTGCAGGGTGTAGTGGGACAGAGTCCCCCATCAACTCACTCGGGCATGTCCAGTCTCAGCAATTTAGATTGTTGAATAACAACAATGAAGTTCAGGGCTTAACTGGTCTTGTGTATGTGCTGGTCTGGTTGTAATCATGACTATCTGGGCCAAATCAGTCACTTTGGTGCGAATTTGGAGATAGCGATAACACGACGTAGATTGTGTTTCTCCTCAGGTATCTCCAGGCTTTCTAAGGTGCAATTAAAGACTATTGTCTGTTATTTGCTTTAAGAAATTATCAACATCTGTAAAGTCGACAAAAATTGATTTTATATTAAACATTTAGAGTTTATCACATTTTTAAAATTTAATTTTAGATTTTTATTTTTATTTTATTTTTATTATTACCAAAAATAAATTAACAAGAAATGGCTAATTTTAAAGTAAGTTAATTCTAAGTAGGACAGCAGAACGAGAGTCCGGATTAAAAAAGTGAGAGTGTGTAAAAATGAAAACCCTGAGCCAAGCTTCGTATTAAAAAAGTGAAAAAAAGTGTAGAAATGAAAAACTCAAGACAAACTTTGTAAGAAAGTGAAAGACAGAGTAAAAATGAAAAACTCAAGCTAAACTTTGCAATAACAAAGTGAAAAAATGGGAAAGAATGAAAAAGTCGAGCCAAAATTCAGATTAAAAGTCAATAAAAGAAAGTAGAAAAAAATTATTGAAATGAAAACATTTGATAAACATGTAAACTTTTTGTTCACTTGCTGCTGCAAGATGCCTGTACCGGTGTCAGTGTTTCTGAAATTCTGATTAATTTTTTTTAAAGATCATTGCACAAACGAAGCACATCTTCATAACCCTGTACTAGGGGCATGCCCCCAGACCCCTTTCACAAGGGTATTTCCCTACTGGGGGCAAGCCCCCGGACCCCTGCCCTGGGGGTATTTTGCTGTACAGACGAAGCCTACTTTCCCAACCCCCTACTGGAGGCATTCCCCCCCGGGCCCCCTTCCCTGGGGTATTTCCCTACCGGGGCCAGCCCCTGGACCCCCTTACAGACACACAACAAACCATGTGTGTCTGTAAGGGTGTGAGTGTCAGTATGATTCATGATGTATTTATGTAATATGTGTTTAAAATTTTTGCAAATGATTGATATGAGGGAGATGGAGCAGTAGCTAGTTGGGTCTGTTCGGTCACATGTCTTGAAAAGGGGGTGATATTTGCACAAAGTCAGTCTACAGGTAGGATGCCTGGGACAAGTGATTGAGTGAAAAATTATTTTGTAGGAGCAAGGGCAAGATTTGATCTGGGCCAGTGGTTTTGTTTTGGTCTAATATTGTCTGCAGTTTCAGGATGCCATTGGTCTAGATATCAAGTGAAGGGATTAGAGGATAAGAGCTATCTGATAAATTTGGATGTTTTGACATTTTTATGTGTGAAAACATATTGGAAGGGTGTGTTGTGTTCTGGGTCTGTCACAAGTGTTGTTGGTGTTTTTGATGGCTGTGTCTTGTCTGCTGTTTGTGTTCCTCTTTCTTTGTATTTTTGGAAAATGTTCTTTGAAAGGATTTAAAAGTGGGCCAATTTTCTGGAGTGTTGGATGTATGTGCATGTCTGTAGAGTCATTTTTTATGGTGTCTGCCTAAGTCCCTGGAGAACCAGAGAAGTGTATGTCTGCTTGAAGGTATTTTCTGTGGTATGTGTTTTCCATGGATGAGAGTATCGGTAAAAGGGTTGGTCTCTGTTTGTGTGTGAAATAATGGGGGATGTAAGGTTGGTGTGTGGGGGGTCATGCAGGGACAGAACACTCCAATCTATGTTGGAGAAGTTGAAATCTCTGTCATGACAATTTAGATTGGTAAATAAAGAGTGACATGGAGTTGGAGACTTAGTCTGACAAGTGTATCTGTACTGTAAAGAATCACCGACCATTTTATTTTTATATCCCGTATTTTATCCTACTTCAGATTTATTTTATGGGTTTGGCTATTAGTTTGTTTTTTTATGCTGCCTATTTTTGAGTAGTTTTGGAATATATTGTAATTTTTTTAAGAGAGATTAGAAGAAAAAAAAATCACTTTTAGAATCTGAATTATTTTATATGTATTTGATGTATACCTCTAGCTTGTTCCTGTTCCATCATTTATATTCTTAGGGAGTTATGACCCTGTCACAATTACAAAAGATTATTTTTAGATGTCTTCAAAAATTACCTTTTATATTGCATTAGGGGGATACTTAGAGTTTTTTTGCCATAAGTATTAAATGCTTAGTCTTAGTCTGAGAACTTGCCAAGAGCCGATGAGAAGCAGGGGGCAGAGGTCTGGCTATGTGAAGAAGTTAAGGGTGAGACAATGTGTACATTCATTTCTTTTATATTTATCTTCTGGCATCTTAGAATTGAATGATTTACACATATATTTCTTTGGGAACCCCACTGTAAGAGAGAGAGAGAGAGAGAGAAAAAAAAAAAAGATTGAAGTGATATAGGTAAGATAAAGATAGGAATGTTATAGAAGAATATTGGTAATGGAGGTATTTAGAGCATACACAAAACATGTTCCTTAAGCCAGGCATAGGAAAATGAAGTCAGAATGTATGACAATAGGCCTACCTTGGTTGTCAAGAGTCGATTTTAGTCTGCATGGAGGGTATGTGCCAGACACACTATTCTTATGCATATTATAGTAAAATGAATTAATATATAATTTATTGAATACTATATATTTATATTATTTATTTTATTATTGTAATATTTTTTTCTGTGTACACACTCTGGTATCATTATAACTAATAAACTATGATATTGGGGTAGTTATGATTTCTTGTTTTTGTTATACGTATACAGAAAGTGAAAGAAACTTTGGTCCTTATATTCTTGAATATGCTTGTGAATAAGAGTTAGTATCAACCCACATTCAATTTGAGACCCTGTTATTTCCAGAAGAGTGAATTGAATTTAAAGCTATTTTTAGGTATTAGCAACTTAAAGCAGTGATAAACTTCTGGGGAATTATGGAGCACTTGCTTGAAAACAAACCTGTACTGTCTTCCCTTGAGCCATTTTTTCTTCAATAGCCATTTGTAGTAATTGAAATATGATTGGTAGACTTCATATTCATTAGTTTTATTGTTTAGGGAGTTTATTTATTTACTTTTATGATTTTTTATTTATTTATTTTTATTTATTTATTTATTTATTTATTATTATATTTTATTATTTACTTTTTCTTGTGCTTTGGTTGGTAGGCGCTCTCTAATCTGATAAGTTATCAGTTATGATGATAACAGTCACCCAAATTCATTGTTTGGTGATCAGTTGAACTTTGTAAGGTACATGAAAAAGTGGTGATATTTTCAATTACCTCCAAAGTTGAAATTCAGTTTAGCGTTAACTTGTATACGTCTGTTGTATCATGTAGCAGCTTATTTTGCTGATATAAATGTAAGTTGCATTAATGATATTAGTATCTCTATGTCTGTATGATTGGTAGACTTCGTGTTCATTAGTTTTATTGTTTAGGGAGTTTATTTATTTATTTTTATTTATTTATTTTATTTTATTTTTTTATTAACCCATTGGCCGATCGAGCCGGGCACAAACAGGGGAAACTGCCGGTGCGCGCCAACAAGCTGGTGCATATGTAAACTTGACAAAATTTTTACCCGTCGCTGATGGGTTAATTATTATTATTATTTATTTATTTATATATATATATATATATTTTTTTTCTTGTGCGTTGGTTGGTAGGCACTCTCTAATCTGATTATTTATCAGATATAGGGTTCAGAGAATTGAATTTCCACGAATATCTGTGAATTTTTTTTTCAGGTCTGGAAAGTCTGTAAATATCTTTGAATCTGAGGTAATTCTTAATAGTCTTTAAAAGTCCTTAAATTTGAATTTTAACCTGCCAAACTCTTTGAAGAATCGTGATGAATGGGAATTTTGTTACTTGTGTATTTTTGAATTGAATAAAAAACCTGGACCTTGTGTATGTTCATATAATGTATTATTGCCTTCAAAGTTCAATTACATTATGATGTGATGATGATCAAAAAGTCCTTGAAAAAGTCTTTTGAAAATGAGCTATCAAAAGGCTTTGCAAGTCTGGGAATTTTTTTCTGCCGTGACTATTATGAACCCTAAAAGTTTAGATTTAGTGTTAAGACCATGTTTTTTACTATAAACTCTAGGTGATTTAGGGGGATACATAAATATCTCAATAACCTGGTTTGGTATACATGCTTCTATAATTTATATTAGATAGAATTACAACTCGAGGAAATGAATAGCGGAAAGAAGGAAAGAGAATGTTTACAAGCATTCCCTTTCCATTTTTGTGAGGGCTGCTAGGGATAGTATGTGTGTACATGCCTTACCCACTGTGTTTAATTTACATTGCTTTTTACATATAATGGCTTCACAAGCAGTCCCAGATGAAACCAATAATAACAAGAATACCTGTTTCACCATGTTTACCCTTTTCTTTGATTTGCGATATTTTCTCTAGTATTTAATACTGTTGTTAGTAAAGTAATGTTTTATGGTAATTATAAATGTTTATAAAAAAATGATGTCAATATTGATAGTGCGGTAAATTTTTTTTTGCTATTTCAAGGAAAGGTGAGGTCACAAGATCTACTAATTGACTCTTTTGTGGCTAAGCACAGGCAGAGCCATTTATGTACAGAAACATTTAACAAAATACAAAAGTGAATGCAACATATTCCTGTTGGCATTGGTTTAATGTCTTAAATTCCATATCATTTTATATATGCTATTTGTTACATACAGTTATGACAGTTGGTTTGCATTTGATGTAACAAGACAAAAAAATACCTTAAAAATCCATATGAAGACCTTCCTATATTAGGAGATTATTTTCATAGGATAGCTGAAAGAGAGGTAACCAAATGGATTTTCTTTTCTTTTTTTATAATAGCTATTTATAGGTGCTGCAATTTTTTTTAACAAGATTTTTGAGAGTACCCAAAAGAGTTTCTGT